AAAAAAAATAAAAGAAAAGTAAAATAATATAAATTTTTACATATAAATATTTATAATTTTGGTTTATATATATATAAATAATTTTTTAATTATATTATTAAGCGGGGCGGGAACATGGGCGGGTATGGGGGCAGGAGCGGGGTAGGTATTAACATCCCCGCCCCGCCCCCGATTTTATCAATCAGGAAAAATTCGAACCCGATAAACATGGGTTTTTCCCATCCAAATTAGGGCGGGTTCGGACGGGTATCCACGGGGGCGGGTTAGATTGTCATGTCTAGTTGTATGCAAATAAATTGCCTATGAGTCAGCAATATTCGGATTCCTCTCTTGTAGGCCATGATCGATCATAATTTCCCAATTGTTTTTGCATAACATTTCTATGGACGGAACCATGTTAATTATGGAAAGGGTGGGATAAAGAACACCTGTTACGGGTGGTGAGTCACTTTCAAGGCAATGCAAAGCTTGTTAATTTCCCTTTCCTAACCTATCTAACATAACTCAGTCACTGACAATGAACGAACCCAAATTATAGACAAAGCCACGAAGGAAAGTTCTTGAAGAGTCCTGAAAAATCCCTCCACAAATATGTTCCACCATACCCAACCAAGCCATGTAAGGGAAAATAACAGGTCGGATTTGAGGAGCTAGTGACTGTAACGTCATTTAAGTTTCAATTGAATCAGTACTCAAATGATGTGACATTTTAACTGATTGGAGAACTTTTAATTGAAAATGATAATAAAAAAAAATGTTTAGACCACAACTCTCCTTTGCATATTCAGCACTCACCCTATTTTTATAAAGAGTTGTTATAAAAAAAAAATAAATGGCGCGCTGACTACGTATACATGTCTAGGTAGCAAATTAATTAACCTGAACCATTAATAATCAGCCAATATAATAATCCTTCCTGCATCATGTAACATGATCTTACCATATGATTTCATTTCGAAGGCAACAATAATATTTATTTATAAATTAAGAATTTGCTCAGAAACTAAACCAGTATCTATCCAGTCTGAGTTCTCTTGTATTGCGTCCAGTGAACGATGTCGGTGAAGGAGTGTTCGCACCACAAGGGAAAGAAGCACAAGGTCCTGAAACGGATCTTCTGGGGCATAGTGATCGTGGCGTTCATCGTGCTGCTAACAGTTCTGATAATCTGGGCAATCCTGAAGCCTTCAAAGCCAACCTTCATCCTCCAAGACGTGACCGTATACGCGTTCAACGCCACCGTCCCCAACTTCCTGACCTCAAGCTTTCAGGTGACACTCTCCTCGCGCAACCCCAACGACAAAATCGGAATCTACTACGACCGTCTGAACACCTACGTGACCTACCGGAACCAGCAGGTCACCTACCGCACCACCATCCCTCCCTCCTACCAGGGTCACAAGGAAGAGGACGTGTGGTCCCCCTTCGTCTACGGCACCAACGTCCCCGTCGCACCCTACAACTTCCTCGGCCTCAGCCAGGACCAGACCAACGGCAACGTCCTCGTCGTCGTTAAGATTGACGGCAAGGTACGATGGAAGGTGGGTGCCTTCGTTTCCGGCCACTACAACCTCTACGTAAGGTGCCCTGCTTTCATAACCTTTGGCCCAAGGAGCACTGGAATTGCCCTCGGAAATAACGCCGTTAAGTATCAGCTGGTTCAGCGCTGCTCCGTCGGGGTTTGACGTCAACGCCGTTTCTACCTTATATCGTCTCTTTATCACTTTATCTATATACTACGCTCTTTCTCATCATTTCTTTATTATATAACTATTTCTTCTTAGGTATAAGTACGTGCGTCTCTTTGTTATGCTATTTCGAATTGTACATTTTGCTATACAATAAAATTGCGAGAGAGATTCATGAAGCGAAATTACAATTTGTAACAAAGCCGATTCAGATAAGTTAACACCTTGTTTCAACTTGGTGAATCATGTTACTGACTTGTGCCATTTCTCTTCCTTTTCAATTTTATTCGCCAATATTCATGCATGATTGTACTTTTATTTGGCTTCAACTCTCTCGCCTTTTGGTTTCTATCTTCTTGGTTATGCACGTGAATTTCGTTATCTATGCTCTCTGCCGCATCTTCTGCATATTATTATTGGATCAATGATGGAATATGTATGATAATTTAGAAATTAAATAGGAACAATTTGTGGGCCGCTTTTCTTTTCTTATTTTCAATTTAGTCATTCATTTAAGTTAGATGTGTATTCTACTAGAGAACACACCCAACCAATTAGATAATTTAGCTGATCTCAAATATGCCACTACATGTTTAGTAGTTTTTTTTCTTTCTTTTTTTGAATATAAATTGTAAAAAAAAAAAAAAAATCCTGTTAAATCAAAAGTAAGGTGACTGTTACTTTTTCTTTAACGTTAATTTAAAAATTAAGTCCAACTTTACTTAATTTTTTTTAACTATAATTCAAACACATTTAGTGTATGTTTGAAATTTCATTCAGTTGAACAAAATGTCAATCCACATCTCTCCTTCTTCCTACGAATGATATTTTGAAATGCGAGATTTTATGTTTCAGGAATTCCAAATGGATTTTCACACTTTTATTCATTCTATAATGTCATTGAATTGAAAGGAAAAAATTCTCCTTGTATGTTAGGAGATGTGATAGTATCGTAAATATATTTTTCTAATTAACTAGTTTATATTTAGAGGTTAAGGTCAATGAGTGAAGGGTATGTTCATATCCATTTCACATGGCTTGGGGGTGGTGGTTGTCCTTACCTACCTTGCTTACTACTAAACGCTGAAAGAAAGGAGCTTTTCTTATGTCATGCCTATAAATGGATTTCAATTATGTTCATTTATTCATATTCTATTATACAATCGGAGACTTGGACAACTCAACACAACACATGCATGCTTAGCAATGGCATCAAGTAGTGTTTGAACAGATTTGGTATTGAGCACCGTCAAGGTAATGCAGATTAAAGGAACCTTCTTTGATTCGTCAACATTCAAAATCCGTCACCATGTGCATGTGATAGGATGCAACTTTGAGAACCACTCCGAACAATACTCATCAAGGACTCTGAATTTAGCACCCCTACACGTAGGAACGTTATTTGTATATTATTGTATTTTGCTTGCTTCTAACAGGACACAATAATCAATCACATGGTCTCTCTGTCATCACTATTGACTAAAAGTCTCACATCTCTCACCTTCTTCTTTCTCCGCTTTTTTGGGCTTAAAACGAGTGTGAAATATCTTTGAAAATGACATAAAATTGGTATCACGATGCAGATCACCTATGTAATGATGATGTTGCATTCTAATGATTTTGTCTCTAATTCTTTAACCAGTTAAATGAAGATACGCTAATTCTTTCCGTTGTTATTATGAAGTTAACAAAATTTATAAATAATCTGGCGTGCCACTATTTGAAAGCATGATAATACTGCATGCTCATAATTATTTTTTTCCTATTAAGAAATAGCATCATAAATATAAAAAAAAAAAGGTTTATCAAATTATTTGTTTAATTTCTTAACTATCCTTATCCTTAAAGATTACTGGGAAAATTATGATGAGTGTAAAAGCTTGTTTGAATTAGATACAAATTAGAAACATTTTAAGAATTTTTCACTGAAAATAAATAATTTTTTTTCATAAAAACACTTTCAAAAGTACATTTAAACAAACTTTGAGTAGTACATGCATAGTATGAATTTATGTTTCAACCAATAATGAGTTTAGGTGTTATTCGGGGCCTCATGATTTATTGACACGTTTTGCTGTCTTTACATGTGAAACTAATTATTTAAATTTTCTTATTAAAATATATAAATAAATCTTAATAGATATATTTGTTAAAGCAAACATATTTGACTACTGCTACAGTTAGCCTAGTAGTTGAATGGGGAGAGATTGTGATAGTTAGAAATATAAAGACCTAAATTCAATTTTCATTGCAGTCATCTTTATAATTTTTCTTATTTTAAAAAAAAAAAAAACAGACGTGTTTAAAAGTTAAAACTTTCGTCGTTTTTTTATAACTTAATGTTTTATTTTACACAATATAGAAATTATTAGATAATCCCATTCGATCGCATATTCATAGTCCGTACTAATCTCTATGACACATTCAAAATGTTCAATTTTTTTGAAAATAATTCATAATACTTAATCATGTAGTTAAGGGCACATATCATTTAATAATTTTTACTCCGACAGACAACCCAAGGTTTGGTTTTTTTTTTTTAATACAGCCCAAACTTGTAATCTTGCATTCGGGATTTTAATAGTCTATTATTTTTTAATATGTAAATATTTCAGTATAATATACGAATCTAACAAAATTCTAACTTTGTTGCTTTCACTTTAATTCTTACTGATAAATAAATTGACTAATAATATAAATAAAATAAGAATTTAACTTTATATATTGTTAGTGTAAATCTTTTTACACTCAAACAATTAGGAAAATATTAAATATAAATTTTAAAGTACTCATTCTCTATTTATATAAATTAGAATAATTATACTTGTGTAAAGTATTTCTAGAAAATTTTAAAATCAGTGTTTTTAAGAACTTTTCTATAATAATAATAATGTTTTAAGAATTTTCTTAACTCTTTATAAATTAAAATTTTCAATAAGTTTAAAAGAAATTATCAATTAAAAATTATATTGCAATATAAAATATTTATCATAAATAAAAATAAAACCTATAAATTTAAATATTTATTTATTATAAAATTTAATTATAATATAATTTATATTTCCAAAAATACATATTTATGATAAATGGTTATGTAAAATAAAAAATTATTCTGTGAACTGTATAGATTAACTAGTTATAGAAGTCAATAAATATTCAATATATAACAATAGTAAAAATAGTTTCAACCATGTAAAAATCTTTTAACGTTTTCTTTATTGTAATTCTAATGTATAAAAATTATTTTAATTAAATTAATAAGCTAAAGCCATTTAAAAGCCAATTTTAGTGTCTTTTATCTCTTCTAGGCACACAATTAAGCCGAAAACACTTCGGTGCCCACAGAATGAATGATTTGTTTTGGTTCAAGGGAGAGTAAGGGGATGTAGAGTATTTTACTGGAAATTAAACCCCACTATCTTTTGCGTTATCCAACTATTAACCAGTTGAATAACCATATCACAGGACAATTGAAGTAACTTTTTCTTTTTTCCGGTAAAATGAAAACCACCTGGGAATTAAATGAATTGGAAGAATACCGCCCCATAATGGGCCTCTGGATGGCCCATTTTTGAAAAGGGTCAGGTTAAATTGTGACCGGCAATTGTTGCACCTTAATTAGGCCTTTTCTACCTTGACGCTATTGTTGTGGGCTCCAATTTGTGGATACATAGGCTCCTCCTTATTTCTCACTTTTAGCCCAATTACGAAGCTCGCAAGCCAATCCATAAATACCGAATCAAACTTGATTAATTTTGGAATTTGAAAATATTTTGTTATCATACTGATCTAGAGCCTTGGCTCAAAGGAAAGTTTTGCTGCTTTATGAAAATTACCAAAGAAATCGTGAAAAAAGGCGGTATAAGAATTAAAAAAACAGTATCCTCTGTGAAGTAAATATTCATTAGCTCTCTAAACTTTTAAATTATAGATTACTTTTCTATTTGTATTTATTTATTTATTTATAGATGTTTGTGAAAATTTTATTTGAGGCATTTAAACTTAGTGAAATATTTCAACCATAGTCAGTTAGGCCGCTAAAATACTTTTTAAAATTAACTTATATGCAAATATATATTAAATGGAGTTAACTGTTGGCCATGGATACCACATAGGTGCATAGGTAGATGTCACGTGGATGCCAAATTTTTTGAAAATACCTGGAACCAGAACGGTCCGTTTTGAAACCAGAAAGGACCGTTCTGGG